AATTTCAGGTAAGGTTTTAATAAGTGTAATTGTTTGTAGCTTTGTTTCTGGCTAATTTTATTAATAATTTCTATAGACTCATACATCTTGTAAGTCTGAGGAATTATTTGCCTTCATTTTTTAATTAAAAAAATGAATATAAAATTTCACCTTTTTTCTGAGTCATTAATTACTTCTGGAGAAGTGGCTTCTGTTTTTTAGATACTACTTCAGAACTGTTCTCTTTTTATGTTTGCATCTAGGTACCATAGTTAGATTTTTATGATCTGATAATTTTTTTTTCAAACTTATCCTAATAGTGTGTTTATTTGAAAGTGAGCTCATAGCTACTTTTAAGCATTTCTGGTAATTGTGAGTAGGTGAAAAAAACAGATTTTTAACATTCGTTATTTTCATTGTTTTTCCCATCTCTGTGAGTATCAATTTTGGATCTCTGTTACCCCAGCAACAAGCTGTGACATCACAAATGATAGCTTTTTGGGTAGAGAGCCAATGGCTGCTCTCAACTCTTTGTTGAGAAACAAAGGTCTTGTTTTCATGTAAATGAGTTTAATTATACAGCTTGCTATTGGAAAGTCTATAGTTAAGGTTACATATAGAATCCCATTAGTTTGTGTTTCAGTTTCTCATTTGTGCAGTAATGAATATAGACAATTAGGCATTTGGTAAAATGAAAAGAGAGCAGTTGCCAAGCTAGGTGCGGGAGAACTAAACATACTGAGGTTGTAGATCTCTAGGTAATCCAAGAGGATGGCTGTCTAGTCTAGGCTGAGGGCTGCCACAAAGTCTCACTGCCCAGAATTAAGGGGCAGGTGGAGACTAATCCCGTAAGTGACTTTAGTGTCGTTTTTTGTGTGTGGAGAGGCCGTGCCTCTGTGTGCATGTGTGGAGACCAGATGGTACTCGAGAGGCATTTAAAGCACTCTTGCATGTGTCACTGTCTTGCCTTGTGCCATAGCTAACTTTTAAAAAATTTTTTAATCTCTGGCAAAAAAAAATTATAAAATATAACTTCTCAGACAGAAGATATCAGACTGAATGTAATCATACTGTTCTAAGATTTAAGAGCTCAGAATTAAAAAAAAAAAAACCCTGAGCAAGAAGCTTCTCCAGTTCAACCTGTCTCGAACCCTCTGTCCCTGTGCCAGTGCTTTGTTGTGTAGCATGCCTGACTGTTCTCTTTCTGCTTGTGTCTTTTCTGGTTTCAGGACACCTTACAGATCCCAGGCTGACTCAACAGCAGAGAAAACAGCAGACAGTGTCTCTTCTAGCACCCCGCTCTGCGTGATCACCAACCGCCCTCCACCCAGCACTGCCAATGGGGTTACAACTGCCACTCTGCTCTCCTCTCCTGGAACAGACTCCTCGGCGGAAGCCAGGGAGAGGAGGAGGTTTGTGACGCACTGATTTCATCTGTGGGGTTCTGCCTGGAGGTAGGAGATGAGGGAGTGGGTGTGAAGTCTTTTCCCTAATCACAAATGGTGAAAATATATCTCTGTATTACAGTTTGGGTTTATATTTTGCCTCTGGGAGACTTTTGGTGGAGATCTTCGTTATTTCTGATTACTTAACATAGATTCTTATTCTGTTATGGACATAGCATATCTTTTTTCTATTTGTCTCATAAGGGAGATCGTTGTCAGGCATTATTTCCCCATTTTGTGTTGGAGAACCTGAGCACAGAGAAGAATCTCTTGTTTTGTTCTGGGTCGTCCATGACAACTTCTCTGGCAGCAAAGAAAAGCAATAGTATGATAAAAGGCTTGGAGAAATAGAGCTAGGATATAAAGTTTTAATTAATTTGAGAAGAATACCAGAAAAGGAAATGAATAGTATATAATGATATGGTAGAAGGACAGTAACTGGCTATTCTGCAATTTCTTTAGAGAAACATTATGAGAGAGCAGTCATTAATTGACATAGGAGAGATTTAAGGTAGAAACTTAAAAGAACTTTTCAGTTGTCAGGATTAAGAGACCTTGGAAGATGTGACCAAGGAGAATGGGTCATTTTCTCCTACTTAAAGAAGTGTAAAAAATAGAATGCACTCCATTTGGGAGTTTCAGATCTACTTAGAAACTGAGGCCATAATTATCCCTTAAGACTAGAAAAAGAGGGGAAATTTTATCAAAATTTAAATTTCAGTTTGACTTCATTTTATTTTGAATATCCAAAGGAAGGAGACTTTTATTTGTGAGTGTGTATATATGTGTAATAAGTCAAGAAATCCTATAGTCTACAAGATACAATGAGTTAAACTTTTTAGATGTTTAGTATAAAGACGGCTCTAAACACATTTTGAGAAGAAATGGAAGGGAGATGTTAAGTGAATTGAAAAACAGTGTTTTTCTTCTTTCTTTTCCTTCCTTCCTTTCTTTTTTTTATTTCTTTACATAAAAATTGAAGAAAATCAATTTTCTGCACTAACGGTTGCAGAGCCAACAGTTGTCATCTTTTAATTGGCTTCCAGCCAAGGAAATTTTAATAAATCAATCTTGGATGTTTAATGTCTATGTATTTAATAGCTCAGATGTAATTTAGATACTATTAGTTTTATCTAGAAACTAAATGCAAAAGTAATCTTTTTATTCACTGAAAAAAACTCCCTTTAAAAAATCTTTCTGAGCTGAGACAAGTAAAATGAGTTAAATTCATCATTAAGATCATGACCCCTGAAAGGGTGGATAAATCAGGTCCTTTATCAACTGCATTATTAAATACTTAGTTGCATGAGCCATTATTTAGAGACAGCTAGAGAGACTGTCACTCTCTTCTGGGAATTTCATCACCATCATCAATCAGATAGCACCTCCTACAGATTTTGGTTTTGTTTCAGAAGTTTTATTCAAGCCACAGATACTTACTGAGTACCTGCTACATACCACATATTATAACTAGGGTGTATTTCCTCAGGGAGCAGCAACTATAAGAATAAAAGAATTAGGGGCTGGCCCGGAGGCATAGTGGTTAAGTTCATTTGCTCTGCTTTGGCGGCCCAGGGTTCGCAGGTTCAAATCCCAGGTGCAGACCTACGCACCGCTTATCAAGACATGCTGTGGCAGCATCCCACATAAAATAGAGGAAGATGGGCACAGATGTTAGCTCAGGGCCAATCTTCCTCCGCAAAAAGAGGAGGATTGGCAACAGATGTTAGCTTAGGACTAATCTTCCTCACCAAAAAAAAAATAATAAATAATAATAAAAGAATTAAGATATTAATGAATTATAATATGAATGTGGTATATCAAGATGAGTGCATTTTTGGGATGGCACAAGATAATAAATAGGGGGATATTAGATATTTATTAGATAAAATAAATAGGGAGATGGCACAAGGTCAATGAATAGGAAGATATTAGAGAAAGCGCTGTTGGGCTCAGTCATTCTTTTCACAGTATTTATCGAGCACCTGCCGTTGCCAAGTACTGTGGTAAACCCAGATGATGCAGCAGGGAACCAGACAAATATGGTCTTGGCCTTGGGAGACATATGTGCTGGTGACAAGCAGCAACCGTTAACCAACGATCACACTCTGAAGAAGTAGTATGAGTTGTTAGGACTGTGTGCTACAGAAGATCTGCCTGCAGAGGACTCCCCTTCCCCCAGGGGATCAGAGAAGGTGATCCTTAGCTTCTGATGCTCAAATGCTACAAATAGCAGCTCAGTGAAGAGAAGGGGTGAGTGTTCCCGGCAGAAAATCAAGCTGTTGAAAAGACACTGAGGTGGGAAGGTGCGCAGTCCTTTGGGGAAACTGAAAGAAGGTGTTGTGACTAGAGAGTAGAGAGTTAGGAAGGAGTAGTCTAGGGGCCGGCTGGGTGGCGCAAGGGCTTAAGTGTGCATGTTCCACTTTGGCGGCCCGGGGTTCGCAGGTTTGGCTCTCGGGCGCGCACTGATGCACTGCTTGTCAAGCCATGCTGTGGTGGCGTCCCATATAAAGTAGAGGAAGATGGGCACGGTTGTTAGGTCAGGGCCAGTCTTCCTCAGCAAAGAAAAAGGAGGATTGGCATTGGATGTTAGCTCAAGGCTGATCTTCCTCAAAAAAAAAAAAAAAAAAGGAAAAGAAAAAAAAAAAGGAAGGAGTAGTCTACAATGAGGCCTGAGGAATAGGTAGGAGCCATAGAATGCAACGTCTTAACAGCCAGTGGTAAGGGATTTGAGATTTATATGCTAAGAACCATAATGAGCCGCTGCAAGAATTTTTTTAAACAGCTTTATAGAGATATAATTCACATGCCATATAATTTGCCCATTTAAAGTGTACAATTCAGTAGTTTTTAGTATATTCACAGATATGGATAACCATCACCACAGTCAATTTCAGAACATTTTCATCACCTTAAAAAGAAATCCTGGGGCCAGCCCTGGTGGCCTAGTGGTTAAGTTCAGTGCGCTCTGCTTTAGCAGCCCGGGGTCGGTTCCCAGGCATAGACCTACACCGCTCTGTTAGTGGCCATGCTGTGCTGGTGGCCCACGTACTAAAAAATAGAGGAAGATGGGCACGGATGTTAGCTCAGGGCGAATCTTCCTCAGAAAACAAACAAAAGGAATCCTGTAACCTTTAGCTACCACCCTCCCCCCATCTCCCCATTCCCCCTAAACTTAAACACTGATCTACTTTCTGTTTCTATAGAGTTGCCTATTCTGGACATCTCATAGACATGGAATCAATATGTGATCTTTTATGATTGGCTTCTTTCAATAGCCTAATTCTTTCTTTTTTTTTTAAAAAAAATTTTATTTATTTATTTTTCCCCCCAAAGCCCCAGTAGATAGTTGCATGTCATAGCTGCACATCCTTCTAGTTGCTGTACGTGGGACGCGGCCTCAGCCTGGCTGGAGAAGCGGTGCGTCGGTGCGCACCCGGGATCCAAACCTGGGCCGCCAGCAGCAGAGCGCACGCACTTAACCGCTAAGCCGCGGGGCCAGCCCAGCCTAATTCTTTCAAGGTTCATCCATGTTGTCGCATGTCTTAGTACTTGATTCTTTTTTACCACCAAATACTATTCCATTGTGTGGATACTCTGCATTTTGTTTACCATTCATAAGTTGGTGGACATTTGGGTTGTTTCCCCTTTTGGCTATTATGCATAATGTTACTATAAACATTAATGTACAAGTTTCTGTGTGGACATATGTTTTCCTTTCTCTTAGGTATATACCTAGGAGTAGAATTGCTGAGTCATATGCCAATAGAAGATTTTAAGCAAAAAATAACATAATCTGACTTATATTTTAAAAATTTCTGGCTTTTAAACTCTGCTTGCAGTATTACGTATGAATTGGACAGGGGAAGAATGGACAAGAATGGGTGTGAGATGACCAGTAAGGAGACCATTGCAGAAGAAAGGTACATGACAGAGAACAGTGGCTTTCCCTGAAGTAGTAGTAGGAGAGATGGAGAAAAGTGAATTGGCTCAAAATGTATTCAGGAGACTGGTTCCAGCAGCATGGTAGATGGAATTTACAAGGACCCCTTTCCCACTATAAACATAGGAAAATGAGTTGGAAAAAGGGGGCCACCCTGTGGCTTAGCAGTTGAGTGTGCACGCTCTGCTACTGGTGGCCCGGGTTTGGATCCGGGCGTGCACCGACACACCACTTTGTCCGGCCATGCTGAGGCAGCATCCCACATACAGCAACTAGCAGGATGTGCAACTATAACATACAACTATCTACTGGGGCTGTGGGGAGAAAAAGGGGAAAAAAAAAAAAAAAAAAGGACTGGCAATAGATGTTAGCTCAGGGCCAGTCTTCCCCAGCAAAAAGAGGAGGATTGGTATGGATGTTAGCTCAGGGCTGATCTTCCTCACAAAAAAAAAAAAAAAAAGAAAGAAAAATGAAAGGGACTCCCAAGTGACAAAATGAAGAGAACCAAAGAGCCAGGGTGGTTTGAGTGGACCAGGGTTGGTGTGAGACCTGTGTAGTAGACCTTAGGATCTGGAGGCTCAAACCTCAATGCCATGTACAGATATAGGCAGCATGGCTTTGACTTGACTAGGCTGGGAGCTCCAACCAAGAGCCTGTAGAAAGCTGGAATTCTCAGAGGGCTGCCCAATTCATGAAAACGGTGCTTTGCCCATGGCCCAGAGAAGTGTCAAGGAAAGGAGTCCATCCAAGGGTCTGGGCAGGGACAGAAAAATCTTTTGTGGGAAATTTTTACTACCCATATAGTTTAGAAATCCCAAGCCAAGAATTTAACATGGAAACTATGTCTATACCCTTGAAACTCTGGGGCCATGGCACAAGGGAATTCAAAATCATCTTGAAGAGACACATGTACAACCCAGGGTATAAGGGATTTCTGTAAAACATTCCCTGCCAAAGACAGACTAACACATGGTACACACTGAAGGAAGTGAATCACCATGAGGAGATGCAGCTTCTAAGAAAC